TCTGTGTCTGCACACAGAGCAGTACACAGCAGCGCTGAACTGAGACCCAAAAGCCCGGGAGCAGGGAGGCGATGAGGTCGGAGGTAGCACAGAGAAGAGCATCAACCACACATGGCCTATCCCAGAAGCCTCATCCCAAGGCTCTAAGAGGGAGTGGCGCTTCCGGCTGCTCCCATAGGCCTCCTTGCCAGGAGGCGGGAAACCTGTGTCACAGCTGTCCTTCAGAGCAGGGAGAGCCAATCAGCGCAGTGGCCGTGCTGGGGCCTCTGCTCTGGCTGCTCCGCTGATGGGAGGTCTTCCTCCATGTCCTTCTCTAGAGCGCTCCACACTCTGGGTCTTCACTACTTTACTTCACTGTAACCGCGGTACAGAGGTGGATGCACAGAGCGCAATCCTGGGAATTCCCACTTCCCGGGAAACTGAGGTAACTTGCCGTGCAAGCCCCACCCTTCCACAGCCATGGCATCAGGACGCTCATGCCACTGGGAACTCAAACAGCGTGGAGGGAGTACGAGGCCGGCAGAACAGACCCAGACTGCACCATACTGCAAAGCGAAGTCAGAAGCCTGGGGGCCTCTGGGCCCTTGGCACCATTCCCTCCCTCCCAGGACTCCTGTCCAACCGGCACAGGATAGGTCACAGGTGCAAAGGGTCTTCCTGGCGCCTAGCGACACAACAGACGTGCATGACCGAGAAAGCCCAGGTGCCTCCTGCCGCGGGCTCCGAACCGCAGCCGTTTTTCTTCCATTAGCCCATACACTAGCCTGTAGCTCCAAGCCCAGGGGTCTACCCAGGCCCCACCTTCACCTATTCTGCAGTCCCTATCCGCCTTCTGGCAGGTCCTACCTTTTCCCCCTCAGGTCCCTTCCATCTCTCCTGGGAGGTCCTTCCTTCCTTCCATCCACAGGCCCCGCCCTTCCAATAAGGCCCCACCCCATAAGCCCCGCCCACCACCATAAGGACCCGCCCACAGGCCACGCCCTCTCCCAGCCGGGAAGCCCTCTTTCCCTGAAACTCACCTAGGCCATAGCAAGCTTAAGGACTAAAAGACTCCCAGGGCATTCCACATTCTGAGCCCTCATTGTGCAGAGAACCCATCTGGTTCCAAACCTTGGACAAAGGCTGTGCCAGAGGTGGGGCAATGTAGGGAAGGTGGTAATTGAGGGACCCAGAGAATGGATGACTGGGATCATTGAAGGAGTACGCCTAGACCCCAGGAGGTGAAGGGACCATGGAGTCCCAAGGTCAAGGTCACCCCAGCTGGAACACTAGAGGCAGGCGTGCCACCATCTTTCCCCAGAGAGAAGGGACCAGGCTTTTGGGGGCCTCTGCACTCCCCACTGAGGATGATACTGATTTCTTGACACCCAGTGAAAGGCGGCACAGGCCTCCCTTGACCAGGAAGAGGGCTGTGGCAGACTTCAGGGTGAGATGGCCAGATATAATCTCCAGGGAACAGGAGGCACAGAGAGAGGACCTGCCCCAATCTGGGATGCAGTCCCTTGACAAGAAGGCCCATGACGTAAGCTCCTGTTCCTCAGGAGTCAGCATCAGCCTCAGACAGCAGTATAGCAACCACAGTGATTTCCAGGATTCCCAAGGATCCACCGCCTGCTTCCTGGAACCCCTTTCAGAGTCTCCACATCTGACCATTCTCAACAACTATCTGAAGCCAGAGTCGATGACCCGGCTGGAGAAGAGGGTGAGGAGGAAGACCCTGGTGGCCATGAACCAGCTGGAGCAGGATATGGAAGCTGCCAAGTTCCGGAGGGCAGTGCTGCTGAGGGACACGAGGGAACTGCAGGATGAGAGGACGTTCGAGGAAGCGGAAAACAAGCCCTTCTTGGAGTACCTGAAGAAGAGAAACCAGAGAACCCAGGAGAAGTATGACTTCCTGTGGAAAGATTACATCCAGCAGTGTCAGGAGATCGAGGTCAGGAGGCGAGAGCTGGTCTGCACCTTCACCTCCCGCACTGTAGACCTCCAGAAGCAGCTGATGCAGGGCAAGAGGCTGGAGGCCGGCTTGAGGAAGAAGCTTAAGGCCCTGAAGCCCATTGCACAGATAAAGGAGAGCCAGGACAGGGAGAAAGAGGCCTTAGAGCAGGAGAAAGCCAACATAGCAGCTGGCATGCCCTTCATGGACAGAAAGGCACACTTACAGTTCCTGAAGGAAAGGGCCGCTCTAAAGAAGCAGGTGGAGGAGCTGAACCTGCTGGAGTCAGGAGAGAACACCACCAGAGAGCTGAGGAAGAAGGCCAAGGCCTTGGAGGCTATGGCCAAAAAGGCTCACAAGGACTTCTGCCAGGGTGTCATTGCTGAGAACAGGGAACTGCAAACACAGCTCCGGCAGCTGGATAAGGAATTCTGTGAGCTGGAAGCCAGGAGGGAGAAGCTGGAGCAGCGAAAGCAGCGGTGGAAGGAGCAGCAGTGGTACCTGGAGGCCCTGGCCCGGGGGAGGGAGCGCCTGCAGCAGCAGGAGTACCGACCCCCCAAACCACAGGCTCCACACCCAACCCAGGGCCATCTACTGGGTGCCAGGCCAGGAACCAATCCTAAGTAATGGCTGCCGTGTCCCAGGAAGCAGACTGGAGCTGATGTTGAGGGTAGCACACAAGGAATGAAGATGCTATCAGGCTAATACAGAGGACAGAAGCAGCAAGGGGGATGGAGGACTGAGCTTCTCAGAGGGGCAGGGGGTCCTGGCCTGGCCTGTCTCTCAGGCTTGGCCCCCTCACTGAAACCCGAAGGGCTGTCCTAACCAAAAGCTTCCCCACATTCGGGAAGCTTGGTTCTTTAGCCCCCCCCATACCTTCCACGCACGACAAGTTCCCTGTTGTAGTATAGACTTGGGTGCTCACTGCCTGCTCTAGTGTGGACGTCATGACGACAGGGTGCATTTGTAATCGGCTCCTTCCCCAGACACCCCATTTCACAAGAGTAGGTTGGTTCCTCAGGGGGGTGGGTGCAGGGTGTTATCCGGGGAATTGGGTTCTTTGTATCTGTGTGTCGCCGAGGCTGAAGCGGTCTGCAGAGCTGTGGGTCGTGATGTGGCATGCAGTCCCAGGTTTGGGCCTGTGATCCAGTGTGACAAATACAGCCAGCTCCCTGAGTCCCGGGCACTGCTTCAGGCAAAAAGCCTCAGTATTTCAGTGCAGAATTTTAACTTTTACTGAAACTCATTTAAAGTGCTGAAAATGAATTGCTGAGTGTACCTTTGGGTTACAGATTTAA